CAATGAATTAAACATTGTTTTATAGATGTTTGACTGGGCGCTTACACGTTGTAATAGTTGAACCCATCTGAAACCCCGGACCGTTGTTTTGATTAAATGTCAAGTGTTACACAGTTTGTTATACCTACAAAGCAATGGAATATCCCAACTACCCCTCGTTCCTCGTGCCCACACATCAAAAGCATACCGCGTCCGGTGTTTTGATTAACTGTCACGTGTGAGTGTGTATAACTTTATTGCGTCTACAACAGTCGTTGGGGCGTCTAGCAAAGTGTCTGGGGATGTTGCAAAGTCCCTCGGTAATTACCTAGCGGGTGCGCGAGTTAGGTGTATGTAAATATCTTGCGCTCGCTGTAATCTGATTTATTTAATCTGACATTTTGGTGACTGATCGCTCCCACTTTTACTTAACATTTTCTCATGCCTTTGTCTCCTTGCTTACCAGTTTGTGTACTGCTCAAGACACAGGTGGGGTTGAGATTGTTCGAGTGGGATTTCACCATTTCATGTCTGTAATTTATAAAGGTTAAATATACTTGCTTTATTAAATAATGTTTGAAACTTACTACTTGCGTCCTCTTTACTTGAGGCTGGTCACGTTTTATTAGTCCCCGTTCGGACGCAGTCCGAAAACGGGGACTTATGTTTTGCCCTGTGTGCGTCCGTGATCACCTGTATCTCGAACATGCATGGACCGATTGAGTTCAAACTTCACTCATACATCACACATTATATGGGACATATGCACATGCATTTTTTTCATGATCCGATCATGGAACTATAGTTTATAGTTCCATGATCCGATTAACGATAGCCGAATAGCGGCCATTTTAAGGCCGAAAATGCATCAAAATCGCACATTTTCACCATTCCGGACCCGGATCTCAGTTATGCATGGACGGATATTGTTCAAATTTGGTACATACATTAAACATAATAGGACCTTGATGCACGTCATTTTTTTTTTGGATCGGGTTCGAAATGGCCGACTGGCGGCCATTTTGTTTTAAAGAATTCAGTTCTGGATCCGTATCTGAGACATGCTTGGATTGATCGAGTTCAAACTTCACACACACAAGGTACATCATGTCACAAATATGTATGTGCATTTGTTTCATGATCTCATTAACGATAGCCAAATGGCGGCCGCTTTAAGGCCGAAAATGCATTGAAATCGCACATTTTCACCATTCCGGACCCGGATCTCAGTTATGCATGACGGA